ATTTCCTCTTTGGCCCCATAACCTTCTTGATCAGAAAATCTGGGACACTACCGAGGTACATGACGTTACAGTACAAGTTCTCATATGTCCTGAGTCTTAATTGACCTTAGAAGGGTAGGGTCTTGAATTAAGAGAACATAACTATTATATCTCTACTAACCATTTTGAATACAAAGATCCAAAATGGTCATTCATCTCTATCCCCTTTTTTGTTTATTTCAATAATTTAAATATTATTGGTGTGTGAACTCAGCAAAATATTCCAAAATAGTCCAATAGTTCATGAAAGTATTGGGTCTTCCACTTGACTGGCAAAGTCAGAAGTTTTTGACTTGAGTCTCCTGGAGCTCAACATAACAACATAGCTTTATTTCTTGTACTTTGTTTTTATACATTTCTGCTGGATGTTTAAGACCAAGATAAATCAAGAACTATGTGACAAGAATTGTAACTTTTGCAACTCATCAGATCAGTCAAATCCCTTCAGGATTTATCCTGAGACCCTGTACCTCAGATTGTAGATCCTTCGTTAGGGTCAGCCATGTGGATGAGTCATGACCATTGCTTGGCCAATGCGCTCTCTGTGAAAGCCTGAGAGAATGTTTTCTCTCCATGTGACTTTCTTTGGTAGACTTTACATCATCAATCACTTTCCTCTTTGGCCCCATAAACTTGATCAGAGAATGCCGGACACAACTGAGTTATATGATGTTACAATACAAGTTCTTGTATGTCCTGAGTCTTAATTGACCTTGGAAGGCTAGGGCCAAAATGTTGACTTTCATTGAGGACCTCCTTTTTTCTCTAATTCTAAGTTTGCAAACTTAGGTTGTTAACCGTCCAGAAGAGAAGCTTATTGTTATTACCATGTAACCTAGGCTATTGAGCTTAACCTCACTACCTGTCTGAATAGCAAACATCTTAGGCATAACATGGAACAAGTAATTTTCATAAAGTATAGATATGTTAAACTTTAAGTCCCTACAGAATATGACAAAAAATTAAAAAATTAAGCTATATTTAAAAAGTAGGAATAAAGATTATATATGTTTACAAATAAGTGCAGAAAGCTAACCAAATACAACATTGTTGCAGGACAGTCCAGCAACACACATTTTCCTGTCTCCTGCCTTCATTCACCACCCCTTTCCTTTTTAAACAATCATCTACCCGAGAGACAACATGGCAGCATCTGGCGTGTCATGACAAGCAGCACGTATTCAGAAGACTAGAATGACAGGCACTCCAAGCTTCACCTACAATTGCAAATTGCCATCCTCAGTGTAGTTGATTAGTTCACAGGGGTCAGTATATATAGTTGTCAGGTTGATAATTTTTCCAATTAACTACTAGATTCAAAAATCTTCAGAAGATTCTCAGGATCATTGCCTTACCCATCTTGTACATATAACTCTATGGCTTGCCTCTGTCATGTCTCCTAGCTCTTGTCATTGTTCTCTCTTCATTGTCTAGTCCTCAAGTTCTTGCTTTTTTAAATTGTACTTTACCTTCTCTTTGTATTTCTTCTTTCGAGTTTTTATACTAGGGAAACTATGATATTTACACATGTGTGTCTGATTTATTTCAATTATGAGTATATCTTCAAGTGGCATCCA